ATTCTGTTCAGAGTTCTTTCCCCCTTTAGTTTAATGGCCTCAAAGTTCTCAGTCCTGCTTTCATATGTACATGTTTCAACACTTGAATTAAGTTTCATGTTCCACTTTTTTTTTTGCTAATATATAAAAGTGTGATTGCTTTTGGGGGAAGGTTCATTGAGATATAATTTACAAGCAGGAACGTTTATCTTTTCAATGTACTTGGTGTGGTTTGGGTCTGTGTCCCCGTTCAAATCTCTCATCAAATGGTAATCTCCAATGTTGGAGGTAGGGCCTGGTGGGAAGTGACTGGATCATGGTGAACACTGGGATTTCCCCATTGGTGTTGTTCTCCTGATAGTGAGTAAGTTGTAGTGAGATCTGGTAGTTTAAAAGTGTGTAGTACCTCCCCATCACCCCTTTTTCCTGCTCTGGCCGTTTAAGAGGAGCCTACTTCCCCTTCTCCTTCCACCATGATTGTAAGTTTCCTGAGGCGTCTCCAGCCATGCTTCTTGCACAGCCTCTTTTCTTTATAAATTGCCCAGTCTCAAGTGTTGCTTTACAGCAGTGTGAGAATGGGCTAAAACAATACTGTTCTACGCATTATGGCAAACACACGGTTACTTAATCACCACTATAATCAAAACACAGAACAATTCTATTACCTTTTTCTCCTCTCAGAATTTTCTCATGCACTTTTGTAGTAAATACCTCCTCCCATCTTGAGCCCATGGCAAGAAGTGATCTATATTTTGTCTCTATTTTGCCTTTTCTGGATGTCATATGAATTCTGTCTATTACATGCAGTCTCTTGAATGTGGCTTTCTTCACTTGAGAGTCCGATGTGTTGCTGTGTGTATCAGCAGTTTGTTCTTTCATCTTGTTTAATAGCATTCCATTGTATGGATACACTCCAGGTTGCTTATCCATTCATCTGCTGAAAGAAATCTGGGTTATTTTTAGTTTGGAATAATTATAAATAAAGTGAGCACACCATTCACATACACTTTTTAGTGTGAACATAAGTTTTTATTTCTCTAAGGTAAGTATCCAGGGATAGAATTGCTGGGCCATAAGGTAAACGTATACCTAGTTTTACCAGACACCATTAAACTGTTTACCAAAGTGGCTGGACCAGTTTGTATTGCCACCCACAGTGTATGAAAGTCTCAGTTGCTCTTCCTCCTCATCAGCACTTGATATTTCCAGGTGTTTCAATTTTAGACATTCTAATGGGTATGTAAAGGTATCTCATTGTTGGACAGGTGCGGTGGCTCACGCCTGTAATCGCAGCACTTTGGGAAGCTGAGGCGGGTGGATCGCCAGGTCAAGACTTGGAGGCCAACCTGGCCAACACAGTGAAACTTCGTCTCTACTAAAAATAGAAAAATTAGCCAAGTGTGGTGGCACGTGCCTGTAATCCTGGCTACTTGGGAGGCTGAGGCAGGAGAATGGCTTGAACCTGGAAGGCAGAAGTTTCAGTGAGCCGAGACCACACTATGGCACTCCAGCCTGGGTGACAGAGTGAGACTCCCTCTCACAAAAAAAGTTGTGTAATTTGTATTTCACTAGGGATTTTATTATATATATATTATATATATATATATATATATATAATATATATATTTACATTATATTGCATTTTATTTTATTTTAGACAAGGTCTCACTGTGTTGTCTAGGCTGGAATGCAGTGGTGCAATCATAGTTCAATACAGCCTGAACTTCCTGGGATCGAAATGTTTCTCCCACCTCAGCCTCCTGAGTAACTGGGAATACAGGCACACAACACCAATACTGGCTATTAAAAAAATACAGAGAAGGGATCTCACTATATTTCCCAGGCCGATCTCAAACACCTGGGCTCAAGCATTCCTTCCACTTTAACCTCCCAAAGTGTTGGGATCACAAGCAAGAGCTATCATATCTGGCCTCTTAGTGATTGATGATGCTGTATATCTTTACATATGTTTGGTTGCTAACTATATAGCTTCTCTTATTACACTTCTTCAAATATGATATATATTTTTACATACTACATTTTTGCTGCTAGTATATAAAAACAGAATTGATTTATGTATATTAACCTGGTGTCCTGAGACCTTCCTAAATTTGTTAGTTCTGGTAGTTTTGTCAATTATGTGTAAACCACCATCATGCCATCTGAAAATAGGGACAATTTTACTTCCTTCTGAATTGTTACACTTTTCATATCTTTTTCTTGCTTTATTAATGTTTATAAACTATAGACAAATGTTAAAAAGAAGTGGTAAGATGGGGCATCCTTGCCTTGTTCTTGATATGAGGGTAAGTGTGTTCAATATATTAACGTAAAGTCTGATATTGCCTATAGATTTTTCATGGATGCCCTTTACCATATTGAGGAAGTCTCTTCTAGATTTTTTTGGCAGTTTTTACGAGTAGGTATTGAATTTTAATTGGTCTTTCTGCATTTATCGGGATGATGATAGTTTTTCTTTTTCAGCCTGTTAATATGGTGAATTACATTGATTGGTTTTTAGATCATTAAATTCACCTTGCATTCCTTGCATTTGGGATAAACCCAAATTGGTCACGATGTATTATCTTTCTATACACTGATGGATTCAATTTGCTGACATTTTATTAAAGTTTTTTTGTTTCTATGTTCACTTAGTCTATTAAGCTGTACATTATTTTTTTTGTAATGTTGATGTTATGTTATTTGGGTTACACTGGTCTCAGAATAAGGGGAAAACTGTTTCCTCTTCTATTTTTTAAGCAAATTTTGCACAAGATTGGAGTTCATTCTTCCTTATGTGTTTGATAAATTTGATCATTGAAACCACCTGGGCCTGGAATTACTTTTGTGGGAAGTCTGTTGAACAACATTCAATTTCTTTAAAAATGAAGAGCTATTCCGATTTTTAAATTTTATTCTATTTCAGTTATGACAAATTGTCTTTTTTATAGAATTGGTGCATTTCATCTACATTGTCAAATTAATTGGCATGAAATTATTCATAATATCTTCTGCTAATGTCTATATGATCTGTAGTAACATCCCTATTTTTATTTCATTTTCTTAGCCAGTATAGTAGGAATTCTCTCCCTTTCTTCTCTCTCTCTCCAGTTGACCTTCCATAGCCATGGGTTTTGCATCAGTGGATTCAACCACCACAGATCAAAAATGTTAAGTAAGACTAGGCACTGTGGCTCACGTCTGTAATCCTAGCACTTTGGGAGGCAAAGGTGGGTGGACCTGAGGTCAGCAGTTTGAGATTAGCCTGGCCAACGTGGTGAAACCCCATCTCTACTAAAAATACAAAGATTAGGTGGGTGTGGTGGTGGGTGCCTGCAATCCCAGCTACTTGAAAGGCTGAGGCAGAGGCTGCAATGAGCCCAGATGGTGCCACTGCACTCCAGTCAGGGCAACAGAGTGATGAAATTCCATATCAAAAATAAATAAATAAAATAAATAGCAATTTAAAAATACAAAGAAGCAATATAGCCTAACGACTGTTTACATAGCATTTACATTATATCAAGGTATTATAAGTAATCTAGAAATTATTTAAAGTATACTAGTCAATGTGGATAGGCTATATGCAAATACTATGCCATTTTATATAAAGAACTTGAACATTGGTTGGGGTGGCTTTCTGAAACCATTTCCCCATGTATACGGAAGGACAACTGTGTATACACATGTATATAGAAACTATATATTTACATGGACAGAAATTGGTTATTTGAGGGTGTCCAGCACGGTAAATGGCACGAAATATGTTATCATGACAGTTGTAATTAGCGTTGCCTTCATAGATGGTGACTTGGAGAATCTATTCTAGTTGGGTACAGCAACGAAGGCTTTGGTCCAGTTTGTCTAGAGTCATGGTGGTGAGAAATAGGAGATAAGCCTGAAAGGGTGATTTGGGGCTTTCCTTGCTCTGTTAAGCCACTGGATTAAATCTCTGAATGTCAATTTGGAAAGCGAGTCCTGTGCTTCTAAATGCAGGATACTCCACACCCTGAAAAGCTGTGGTAATTGGACATTTTACTTTTTACATTATAGAGTGTCTACAGAGAGTGGGGCTGAAAAGTTTGGGAAGAACAGGTAGGTGTGTGGGGAGGGCAAAAGAACAGAAATAACAGGCACATGCATTTTTCTAGGAAAATTTGGGGGATAGCTAAGTGATGTATAGTTATACTTAAAAGACTACACATTTTCCTACTTTAAGGGCTTAATGGCTGTATTCCCACTCCTTTGCCACTCTCTTTGCTCTTCTCTTCTCTAAAAAAAAATTAATGAACTGAATCAAATCTAAGTTCCCCACTTTACAGCTGCAAAGCCTCCAGGCCAAGGAGGCCAATGGTTACACAAACCAGGTAAGAAAATAAAATATGCCCAGTAATTTCATAGGACCAGAGGGCTTACATTTAGAATGCGTGTGACTGTCAACTGTGGACTTGACCCTATGCAGAGATTAGAGTACAGAATAGTCAAGCAAGAATAAGTAAACATTTGCCGAATTCCGTCGGTTCCGGGAAGGAACTCGACATTGACTCCTGGCAATGTCCTGGGGAAGGTTTTGTTAACAGTCTCGTTTTGCAAAGGAAGACAGCTACCTGCCAGTTGTCCCAGATGGCACAGGCGTGCCATGCAGACGGGCGTCTGACTAGCTCAGGGCCAACCAGAGGTGCGCTGAGAGGCGCATGATTAAACAAACGCGCGCGGGTTTCCTCCAGGCCCCCGAGGGCTCCGCTTCGCCCAGGTGTGCCTCGGCGGGGCGGAGAAAACCGGTTCTGAGCTTCGCTGCCTGGTGGAAAAGCCCGAGAGGAGCGTGAAGCCCTTCAGATCGCCCCCGCCGCGTCCCGCCCACTCCCCGCCGCGACTTCCTATTCGCTGCCAACCGACGTGCGCCGGTGACGTCACCGCGTTCACCATCCCGGAAGTGCGCGTGGCGGTGACGACGGCGGCAGCAGCAACGGGGCCGGTAAGCAGGCGTGTAGTGCTCGGAAGGGCAGCGTCGGTCGCACCAAGGATTCTCTCCCGCTGCCTGCCGGGTGTGCCGCGCCTCGGGTCCTCGAGGAAGGCGGGAGCGGGACGTGGCGAGAGGCCTCCTCAACACTGGGCAAAAGAGCCTTGACCCGGAGGTCATGTCTCTGCCGACCGCAGGGGCGGATTCCCTGGTTTCCTTCGGCATTTTCTCCTCAGCGCGGGCGGCCCTGAGGCGCTTTCTCACTGGGCCTTGTCGCCAGCGCCGGCTTCCGGGGCCGGACGCGCCTTTTCAGGGCCAGGGTTCCCAGCGCGTTTTCCTAAGTTGAGGCGGAGGTGCAAGGAAACTGAGTCGCTCTTTCTATCCCACTTGGCCTGCTGGGAAGCGCCGCACCTCCATCCCGCTTCCGCGGAATGGAATGGCTTTTCTCTGGAAGTTTACACTGGGGTTTCTCGAGAGCTGCTGCCGCCTCCCCGTACGGGGAGAACGAGGGTGATATGGAGAAGGGAAGGCAGGGGTGTGCTGGCAATCTGAGGAGATTGCAAGATGGCAGGAAAAGAATGAGGAAAATGGGGGCAGCTAAGCTAATTCATTCATCAAAGTACACTTCCTAGGAGCTATCCCAGAGTTAGGAATTCTCGAGTGCAGGTGCGTAAATAGGGTGATACCCACCTGTGACTGACAAGTTCTGCAGACCAGTTGTTGCTGGTCTACTGGATAGAGTTTCTAGAACCCCGCACCCCCTCACACACTGAAGCCCTGGTCTGGGGAGAGTGTCATCACAGTACTATGTGGCTTGCGAGTGAAGTGCTCCTGGACCAAACCAAGGGTCGGGCTGCTTATTCTCGCCGCCCAATAACTAGATGCAGATAAACTGGAAAAGAAGGGAGTTTATTTCTGTACCTCTGTACAGAGAGAAGGCCTGGAAAATATCACCAGACTGGATCAATTAAAAAGTTTTCCAGAGCCTATATACCTTCTAAGCTATATGTTTACGTGTAAGTGTGCATTCATCTAGAGACTTAAGTGATTGACTTTAGATCTGTAACTAAGATCTGAATCCTGAAGACCTTCCTCTGGAGCCTCAGTAAATTTACTTAATCTAAATGGGTCCAGGTGCTGGGGTGATTACACTTATCTTCTCTCCTGTTAAACATGAATGTTTGGGGAGTTCCTTCAGACCCCCATTAAACTTGTTTGTGGAGGCCTGGAGAGCTTTGTCAGACTCCCCAGTAAGACTTGTTTAATACTAAATGGGTCCTGTTAAGAGTTCCTTTGTGGCCAGGGGCTGTGGTTCACACCTGTAATCTCAGCACTTTGGGAGGCTGAGGCGGGCAGATCACTTGAGGTCAGGAGATACAGATTAGCCTGGCCAACATGGTGAAACTCGGTCTCTACCAAAAAACTATTAAAAATCAGCCAGGTGTGGTGGCCTGCACCTGTAATCCCCACTACTGGGAAGGCCGAGGCAGAAGAATAGCTTGAACCCTGGAGGCGGAGGTTGCAGTGAGCTGAGATCGTGCAACTGCAGTCCAGCCTGGGTGACAGAGCCAGACTCCATCTCAAAAAAAAAAAAAAAAAAAAAAAAAAAAAAAAAAATTCCTTGGTTATCATGCTTCAAGTCTCAGGAGAGGCTTAGGCAAAACTCTTGGGCTTTTGTTACCTTCCAGCCTTTGTTTAAGGGAACTGACTGGCTCTTTCAGCTTTTAATTTAGTCAGCCAGTCAGTCAGTCCTGAAACAGTTGTGATGGAGGCCTGCCTTAGTGAGACCTGGCCTGCCACAGCAAGTGCTTCTGGAGAACAAAACCAGGTAGATACATAGATCTAGTCTTAATGATCCCTCAGACTGACACCTTTTTCAGTTTTTCATCTGAACCAGAGGTGAATTTCTGTGTTGATAAAGTTGCAATGTGTCCCTTTATTTTCCTTCACTTTGAAATTTCATTGGTGTGTCTTTGTGTTTGCCTTGTAGATGCATAGTTCGTGACTGCCTCTCCAGATGCTAAGGTGCTTGTATCGTTGGCACAAGCCAGTACTGAGCTGTAGGTGGAGTAGGCTGTGCCTTCTGAAGCAGTATCTATTTACAATGAAGTTGCAGTCTCCAGAATTCCAGTCGCTTTTCACAGAAGGATTGAAGAGTCTGACAGGTGAGAGATTAGGATACCTTTACTTGATTTGATTCGGAAACCTGTATACATGGAGAAGTAGAGGATTAACGTTTTTTTGGTTCTTTTTTTTTTTTTTTTTTAAGACGGAGTCTAGCTCTGTCACCCAGGCTGGAGTATAGTGGTGCAGTCTCGGCTCACTGCACCCTCCGCCTCCCAGGTTCAAGTGATTCTCCTCCCTCAGCCTCCCAAGTAGCTGGGACTACAGGGACGTGCCACCATGCCTGGCTAATTGTTCGTATTTTCAGTAGAGAGGAGGTTTCACCGTATTAGCCAGGATGGTCTCTATCTCCTGATCCACCTGCCTCAGCCTCCAGAAGTACTAGGATTACAAGTGTGAGCCACTGTGCCCGGCCGAGGGTAAACTTTTTTAGCTAGCATTTGGATATTTTCGTTGTTGTTTTAATTATTTTTATTAAAAAAACAAAACAAAACAAAAAAAACAGTCTCACTGTGTTGCTCAGGCTGGTCTGAAACTCCTGGGCTCAATCCTTGGCCTTTCAACATGCTGGGATTACCACCAGGTGTGAGCCATGGTGCCCAGCCTACATGTTTTCATTGTTGGAAGGAAGGCTTGTCTGGGTGTACCCAGCCTGTAATCTCTTAGGGATGCCAAGGTAGGAGGATTATTTGAGCCCTGGAATTTGAGGCTGCAGTGAACTATGATTATGCCACTCTATCGTGGGAAGCAGAGTGAGACCCTGTCTCAAAAAAAAAGCAAAGAAATATTAAAAGAAAAATGAAAGGCTTGCATATGGGTGATCCACCAATAAAGCCAAATCACTGGAAAAGGCAAGAAGTTGACTGCAATAAAAAGCTTGGCTTTTCTGTATGCTAAGTACTTTCCATACATTACAGGACTGGTCCTACTAACTAAATGAGTAGGTATATTTTGACTTGTTAGGTGGAAAAGGAAAGATTCTTAGGCTTGTGAAGTGCTTTGCTTATGTTTCTGTAACTAATAACAAGAGAGTTGGATTTCGAACTTGTGCAGTCTGATTTCAGAGTTTAGCTTGTAACCACTAAGCTGTTTCCTTTCCAAGTATAAATGCTTTCCATGAGAACCGAAGGAAGAAGGATATAGGAGTTACCTCCATTGTGCACTTTGCAAAACCTGTCTGGAAGGAGCACAGGAAATGGCTTTAGCTAAGTGCTTGACTCCAGTAGCTTCTTGCTGTTGCCAGTTTCATCAGTATTGGTCCTTAATGTTATCTGATGTTGCGAAAGCAGCCACACAATAGCATTACAAAGCTTGTGGGAATTTCAGTAGCACTTTCATAAATATATTATGTATTACATGTAGAAATATGACCTAAACAGCACTGGCTGTCTATTAGATTCACTTGGAGAGCTTTTAAAACACACATGCTGGGGTTCTACCTGCAGCCTGCTGAATTGGAATCTCTGGATGGGATGACCATCTATATTTTTAATAAAAACACCACAGGTTAATTCTGACGCACAGAAGGTAGAAGAATCATTACTTTAATATGACTCACCTTGTATTAGCTTATTCCCAAAGGTGCTTTCTCATTCTTGAAATTAGATGATGGCCTTTTAGGTACATGCCAGAGATAAACGGCCCAGACATGTTGATTCTTTTAGGTTCTTTTAGGTAGACTTTAAGTAGAGGGCTTAAATGCAGGTTTGGTTATGCTGATGCTTCACTTTTTTTTAATTGGAAAGAGTGAAAATTGCTAAAAACTCACTGTTCAATAGAAATTTATGAGCCCATATGTAATATAAACTTTTCTATTAACCACATTAAAAAGATAAAAAGAAATGGTGAAATAAATTTTAATAATTATTTTTAGTACATCTATTTTAATCCAATATACCTAAGATACTATCAGTATGAACTTTGCATAAAAATTGTGATTGAGGTCAGGCACAGTGGCTCCCACCTGTAATCCTAGCACTTTGGGAGGCTGGTCGCAGTGACTCAGGCTTGTGATTCCAGCATTTTGAGTGGCGGAGGTGGGTGGATTGCTTGAGCCCAGAGGTTCAAGACCAGCCTGGGCAACACAGTGAAACCCCATCTCTACTAAAAATACAAAAAAATAGGCAGGCATAGTGGTATGTGTCTGTAGTTCCTGCTGCTAGGGAGGCTGAGGTGGGAGGATCACTTGAGCCTGGGAGGTGGGGGCTGCAGTGAGCCGAGATTGTGCCACTGCACTCCAACCTGGGTGACACAGACTGTGTCTCAAAAACAAAATTATTAATGAGATATTTCATATTTGGAAGTCTTTGAAATCTATGTGCATTTAACACATACAGCACGTTTGAATTCAGACTTACCACACTTTAAGTGCTTGGTAAGCACACGTGGCTACTGTTTGAGTAGTGCAGATTTTGAAGCTCTGATCTTGGATTGAGTTGGAGGTTTTTTCTTCCTGTGTATGCCATTCACCACCCCAAATTTTTCAAGTTGCAAGAGGCCTCTTAGAAGAAAGAAAAGAAAAGCATTTTTTGGAAATACGGTTGTAGATGTTGATTACTATAGTTTCTTGAACATCATTTTAACAATTGTGTTTAACTTTTTAATCCTGGATTAGAAATAACTGGATTTTTAATCCTGGATTAGAAATAACTGGATTTTCTCCATCCTGAGAAATGAGGTCCTAAGGATGTAACAGAGTAAATGGTATGGTAAGGTAGAGGTAGTGTTGCTTCCAGAGTCCTGTCCTTCGAGGCCTGGCAAATGAGCATGGATATATTCTAAAGTTGACTTTTTCTAGGCTGCTGGAGAAGTGGCAAGAATGGAATCTTTTAGTGCAATCATCAACAAGTTAGAATATCAGAGACTTGGGTGCCCTGGTAAAATGTAATGTTCTGTATAAAAACAAAACATACAAAAACACACAGCCTTTGTGATGGCTGCTGTATAGCCATACTTGGAGTTTAAATCTTACTGTAGCAATTCTCAAATCTTAATAGCTGCTTTGCCATGTGTAAAATTAGTTTTCAGTTTGCAAGAATATGAGAGGCTAGAATAGTGTATTATTGTCATATCATAAGGGTTTTATAATTTGCCAGGTTATTTATCTTTTTGCTTCAGTACAATCATATACTAGTGGCATATATTATTATTTCTCAGCTGGCTGCGGTATCTCGTGCCTAAAATTCCAGCACTTTGGGAGGCTAAGGTGGAAGATTGCTTGAGGCCACCAGCCTGAGCAACATAGTGAGATCCCATTTCTACAAATAATAATAATAATAAACAATTTAGCCAGTTATGGTGATGCACACCTGTAGTCCCAGCTACTCAGGAGGCTGACGCAGGGGGTTCCTTGCACTCGGGGTTAAGACCGCACAGTGAGCTGTGATGTTGTCACTGTACTCCAGCCTGGATGACAGAGTGAGACCCTCTTTCAAAAAATAATAAGTTTTTTGTCCTAGAGATGAGTCTGAAGTTCCCAATGTAGATGATTTTTGCTTGAATTAATAGCACTAGTAGATGAGCAGGGACTTCTTTGGTCCCTTGGCTATTGTCCATGACTCATGATAGCCAGTCAGTGTTATGTCAGAAAGCCATCATATTAAAGTTTAGCGTAATAGAAACAACTGATCACTCTCTTGAAGTCCGGAGCTCTTAAAACAGATGGTCTGTTTTCCTGTAGTAATGGTCATGCCATGACTTCCCACTCATAGCTCCCACTCACTGCCCCCTACCCTACCCTAGCATCCAGTTGTCAAAATTCAGAGTTGTAAAGGGAGCAAGTTCATGAAAATTTAAAGTTAACATTAAAAAGAGGTGACAATTATAAAAGTTTTCTGACACATCAATATATGGTCTTTTGAATTGCTGAGAAGAATAACAATTACTATCAGATGTGGCATTTGGAGCAAATAAACAGTTTGGGAATGATGAGATTCTGCATTTCTTGACTTTTAGGCTTGAGTTTACAGTTAAATTTAGTTGCCTTAGGTGTTATTTTCACTGAATTATTTCAATGAATGTATCTTGCATAGTCTTTTGAAATGTTGACTGCATTCCTATTTCTGTAAGATTGAAGATAACAGTAACAGAGGAATAAAGAAATCTTTTAGCTTCATAGTACCTGCTGTTTTAGGCCAATGTGAAATTTTGCTTTTCTTATAGTTTTTATGACTACTCTTTCATAGAGACCGATAAATATGCCTTGATATGTCTTTCTCAGGTGTATGAAATGTTATTTTAAAAATCCTGAATGGTAAGTTTTTCAGAGTGGTTTAATAAAATAAGGCAATCAAAATGGTGAATATATTACTTGGAGTTCTGGATCTCTTTGTAATGTAATTAAGTTACCAAGTAACGTTGAACTTAGCATTTTATTTTAGTAAAGACAGCAGTAGAATCTTAAAACAGTAGTTATCTATATAAATTCAGCCTTGACCTTCTTCATCCTATTTAAAGTGGGTTCAAATGAACATAAAACTTGCCCTTTATTTGCTTGAATTTCAGAACAGCTACTTGATACTATTTTAATTTGAAGGAAGAAAACTTAAAAAAAGAAAAAAACCCAATACTTTCCAGTCTAGTCTTTTTTTTTTTTTTAATAGCTAGAATATCACAATTCAGTTTAATTATGAGCCAAATTGGTATAATGATGAATAAGATAGTCTCCCCTTGACAAGTGGGGAGACAAAGACATAAAACAGGTAATTTTAACATAATTGGTATGTATAAAGATGTGCTATACTAGTAGCTTAGAAGAAATTCACTTAACCTCACCTTCAGGAGAGGCTTATTAAAGTGAATCACAGCTGATAAGTAAGAGTGAGCTAGATCAGTGTTTTCCAACTGGGTAGTTACCCCTTAGTGGGCCATAAAGTCAATTTAGTGGTTATGACCAGTATTTTAAAAAAAGAGACGAGAGAATAGAATAGATTGCACGGTAGACATACAAGTTTCAGTGACTGCTATGTGAGTGTCTTAGTGTGGGTTATGGGCCAAGAAGTGTCACAGCCAGCCACTGAACTAGATGAGTAAGTTAGGGAGGTGTTTCACTAAAGTTACTCACACAAGCATAATTATGGAGGAAAGCTACAGGGACAGTTTGGTGCAAAGTGTGATACAGGGTTTAGCAAGAGGTGAGACAAATATGTTATGGAAGCCTTTGGATATAGCACTGAGGAGTTTGGGTACCGTGTTGTGAGTAGTTGTTAGGAGCAGTTAATACATAGCATAATTAACCTGGTGTTTTAGATCCCTAAGTCTGGATGGTGGAGGCTGGATTTAAGGGAGGTGATGTGGTTTTGGAAGTGAGCCTTGATGGAAAATGTGGCATTAAGGGAATATGAACACTTCGCCTTGGGGAAAGCTCGTGGAAAAGATATCCTTAATTAAGGCCAGAGGGTAGAGGGAGGGGAGCATTTGTTATTTTTAAGCATTTTAAGGAGCCTACAGAGAGTGAGACTGAAAGATTTGGGAAGAGTAGGTAGAAGAGGAGTGTGGGCAGGACAGAGACGTTGAGGTAGGGATGGAGGATTATGTTTTTAGTTGTGATTAGGGGTGCCAGAATTCTGATGTATGATGAATTTAGGTGAATGCTCATGTCACTGTCCTCTAGCCAAAGGCCAACAGGGAGACAAGTTGGGTTGTTAGTCTTGGCAGTGAGGAGCAACATGCTGAGTGAGGCGTAGCATATGTATACTCAGTAAGAGGACTGTAGAAAGGATTTCTTACAGGAGTTGGGCTTGTATTGGGTCCTTTTGGAGAGGGTTTAAGGTAGTAGAGCTTTGCAGTGGGTTAGATGCTCTCAGAAAGCAGAAGTAATTCTGTGATTGGTATCTTAATAATGCTTTCCTAGAAGTTGAGTACAGTGTGAGACTAAAACTAATTTGTAAGACAGAATCACTCTTATCAACTATTGTAGGGTGTATCATGGACAGTGTTCATGTATATGTTTAGGTGATTACAGAGTTGTCTTGATGATCCATCATGGTCACAGAATGGGCTTGTCTGATACTGATTTTCTGTGAAATTGTTTCTGTTCCACAGAACCCCAGCATCTAATTTTGTGGGAGGCCAGCTCCTGGATGTCATTTTCACTAGGTTGCATATGGTGTCCTTTGGGCATATGGATAAATTCATAGTGGACTTTGTCTTATCCGTTACACGTAGAGGAGCCAGCTATGTAGTTGCTTATAGTCAGTCGTTCCAGTGTTCAAATGGTTCTACCTAGAGCACAGATAGGAGTTGATTTTAGAATAATTTTTGAAGGATTCTTATTTATAAACATTTATCATAAGTGGTATGATAGACCAATGTTGTCTGATAATTCCATAGTTTCATGCATGAATATTCTGCCTCCGCATCTATCTGGGCACAGAGAAATAAAAGAACATGTTGCCGTTTCTAAAATATGCACGTAACTGGGGAAAAAAGCAGAATTGTTTGATTTACTTTTTTTTTTTTTTTTGAGATAAGGTCTTGCTCTGTCACCCAGGTGGAAGTATAGTGGCACGATCTTAGCTTTCTGCGGTCTTGAACTCCTGGGCTCAAGCCATTCTCCCACCTCAGCCTCCCAAGTAGCTGGGACTGCTGCCACTAGTGTGCACCACTGAACCTGGCTCTTCTTATTTTTTGTAGAGACAGGGTCTTGCTGTTTGCTCAGGCTGGTCTTGATCTCCTGGGCTCAAGTGGTCCTTTCGCCTCAGCTTCCCAGAGTATTGTGAGCCACTGCACCTGGCCTGCTTTAGGCTTTAGTAGTAGTTCAAATTTATATTGATCACTTTTGAGGCATCTTGGAATTCTGAATTATCTTCTGAATAAGCAAAGAAAAACTCTGTAAGTTCCTTGTTTCCCGTGGTCCTCAGAGACATTCTCCTGCAAGCAAGTCTTTTTACTTCTTCGGGCCTTGTTCTCATTTTTCATATGAAAAACCTCAGTTAACTGAATCTCTGCTGTTCTAACTAGATGGAAAAGCCTTGTACTTTTGTGGTTCTCAAAATAAACATTGAAATAAAGATCTTTTGAATAAAGATCTTTTTTCTCTCATTTCAGAATTATTTGTCAAAGAGAATCATGAATTAAGAATAGCAGGAGGAGCAGTGAGGGATTTATTAAATGGAGTAAAGCCTCAGGATGTAGATTTTGCCACCACCGCTACCCCTATTCAAATGAAGGAGATGTTTCAGTCGGCTGGGATTCGGATGATAAACAACAGAGGAGAAAAGCACGGAACAATTACTGCCAGGGTGAGTGAAAAGTTTGGCAGTTAATTACATTGCTTTTTTGGTAATTTTTAAAAATTTAATAATTTTCTCTAGTTAAAAGCAAATAACAAAAACTCTAATAAAAAACATTAGTCTCCTCTACCCCTGTCTTAAAACCTGCAGTCCTCTGTTCTTGCAGCCGTGTTTAATTTTTATGTTACCTCTCTATTTCTAAAAAGACCTTTGCATGCTACAGTATTTACTTTTACTATGCCAGTTTTAAGATGTGTTATGTATTGACTTCCCATGAGGGAAGATGATTTAGCTTTCTTACCACACCCTTCTCAACAACAGGCACGTAAAATTCTCCTTCTCCCATCTTCCTAGTATATTTATATAATAATTTTTGGTTAAGTCAATATTCAGGGTTTACATTTATGACTCTCTATTGTTTACAGCCAGATTGTGAAGTAAATTATGATTACATTTCTTCTGTTGGCATGTTTTTTAATTTTCCTGCAGTTAATAGCATTTTTCTTTTACACAGCTTTCCATGTACTACTAATTTATTCCTGTGCTCTGTGCCAGAGCTGTAGAGTTCCTCTCAAAAGATTTAAAACATAGCACATCAAGTTTCAGTTGGGTTTTTGGGAGACATCTTATCTGGTGCTGTCTTCCTGCTCCAATATATACTTTTAGGGATTTCCTTGGCCTCTCTTTTTATTTAGACCTCCTGTTTCCTGGGTCCCATGTGCTGTTCTTTCTTGGTTTAAGCCGTCATTTTAATAATCCAAAACCTGAGGAAGCCCTACACATCTGAAAATATTTTTGTTTTACCTCCACACTGGTTTGATAGTTTTGGTTATAGAATTCTAGGCTGGGAATATTTTAGTGCAGAATTTAAAGGCATTGTTTTCTAGCTTCAGGTACCGCCACTAAGTCTGGTTCCATTTAGATTTCTCTTTTGTTTAAAACCTGATTATCATATTTCCTTTTGGAAGTCTTTCTGATCTTTTTATGCCTAATGTTTTTAATTTCAAGATGATATAATTTGTTTTGGGTTTTTCACTTAACCATGCAAGGCACTTAGTGCCCTCTTATGTTTCTTTCATAATTTCATCCCTTTTGTTAAATGTTTTCTCCTTTGGAAACTCCTATTATTTGGATGCTGGACCGCTGGGACTGACCTTCTAGTTTTATCTTTTGTCTTTTTTTGTTTATATGTTCTCCTGTCTTTCACTTACTATGAGAGTGCCTTAACTTGATCTCCCAATTATTGTATGATATTGGCAACTTCTATGGTCTTGTAGAATTTCAAGAGGTCTTAGTGTATTTCTTTGGAAAGCTTCCTGTTCATGTTTAAGATGCAAGATCTTTTATTTCTCTTAGGATATCTATTGTAGTTATTTTGACAATGTCTTTGTTTCCTCCGAGCTTTTTCTTTCATGTTGGCTTTCCTTAAATGTGGGTATTCTTTGGCTCTGCCTTTATATTTTATTTGGGTGATGCTCTATAATTAAGGACTTTTTTATAATTTTGCATGGGACGTGTCATCCAATTGGGACTCCCAATGTAAGCCTCAGTAGGAGTTTTCATTAGGAGAAATCAGAGAAGAACATTCCAGTATTATGCCAGAGAAGGAGTCTGATTGTGAGCATCTTGAAACCAAGTAGGAAAGGCATGAGGGTGATGTTAAGTTTCACTTTAATCTTGTTTTCATCTTGATGCTTCATTTCCATGAACATCTGTGCCTGGTGCAACAAGTTCTGATTACTTTTGGTTCAGCCTTTCAAGAGTCAATCCCTGGTTTTCTGTCTCTAAGGGAGTCATTCTAGGTGGGTCTGATTATTTATTATGAGTTCCAAATAGTTTTCCTATTTCAAAACTTATTTTATTCTTTGCCTTCAGAGATACTTGTGCCTCAAATTCTTGAGTTCTGGAATTCTATAGTGAGAGAGAGATGTAGCTTGTATCTAGAGAAGAGTATCTATGAAATTGAGAGAAATCCTAGAAAAGACTGCTGGTGATCATTAATGGCTGTCACTTCCTAAATTCCTAACCTCTGCTTGGCACATCAAATACTATACTCTCTACTCCTAAATGCTAATATGCTGTCTGTCAGGTATACTTTCTCTTTTACATATATTCCACTTTCTCCATGGTGCCTGTGGTCTTTTCTCTGCATTTGGAATTTTCTTATCACACCTGCATGTACAGACCCTGCCGCTTTTTCAAGGCTTGGCAGAGATACCACCCTATCATGAAACTACTCAGCTTCCCCAGCGGGAGGTAGTCTGTCTTCCTGCAATAGAGGTAACTCTTTATTTTAATTTCTTTCTTTTGTGAGACAGGGTTCTCACTCTTTTGCCCAGCTGGAGTGCACAGTGTGATCTCATTTTACTGCAGCCTCTGTCTCGCGGGCTCTAGCGATCTCCCACCTCAGCCTCCTGGGTAGCTAGGACCACAAGTGTGCACCATCACACCTGGCTTTCTTTTTTTTTTTTTTGTATTTTTGGGAGAGATGGGATTTTACCATTTTACCCAGACTGGTCTTGAACTCTTGGGCTCAAGTGATCTGCCTGCCTTGGCCTCCCAAAGTGGTGGGAATACAGGCATGAGCCACCACCCCGGCCTTTATTTTAGTTTTATTGGAGATTACCAGTAGGGGACTTGCAGGATCTGTTAGCAGTACTTTTTCCTTTATCAGTCTTTTGCTCAATGACATAGATTCCATAAAGCAACATTTGCCTCTTTGCAAACTGGAGCTATTAGAAATACTTCAGATAATAGTTTGATTTGAAATTGAAGAACAGTTTTGAGGGTTTCTCCACATCACCTGGCAGAGCTGACATGTTTGTGTGTTAAACTTCTATTTTTTTAATAATAATGGGTATTTTTAAAAAAATCATTCTTTGGATGTGTTTTTGAATAATGTGGATATTTTTCTGTTTCAATGTTTAGGTATGGTAGTTGATGTTAAAAAGACTAACTGTCATGGCTTATAGTACTATCCCTTTATAAAGACAAAAACTTTTTTTTTTTCTTCAATTCAGTAGTATGGAAAACTAATTTAAACAACAACAAAAACCCCATGTATTTAATTGCAGCTTCATGAAGAAAATTTTGAGATTACTACACTACGGATTGATGTCACCACGGATGGAAGACATGCTGAGGTAGAATTTACAACTGATTGGCAGAAAGATGCTGAACGCAGAGATCTCACTATAAATTCTATGTTTTTAGGTAATATTTGTAGATATAACCATGTTTTAAATGGGTTTACCAAAATGCCTTCTTTTCAAGTAAAACCTATATTCTGGAAATGTTCTTCAACTTGAGAAGCTGCATTAATTTCTTTTAAGAGATGTTGTAGCAGATTGCTGAAAAGAATAGACTCTGGAGCCAAAATCCCTAGGGTCAAATTCTGACTCCATCACTCACTAGCCATAAAACAAAAATGTTAATTAATAATGGCTTTCTTTGTACAGCTCTTGTGAGGTTTAAGAGAGTTAATAATTATAAATGCTTAGAACAGTGCCTGACACATGTACACATTCAGTGAATGCTAACTTCTTAACTGCATCTAAACAACATTAACATTTCAGGGAAGAAAAATGCACACATGCCTGCATGTACACACTTCACAAACACACCCACACCCAGCATCATTCTTTTTCCTCTGCACTATTTTTCATGAATGTGTATTCATTCTTTCCTCTCTTCTGCCACCCGGACACACAATGGTGAATATCTTCACCACCTTTTTTACTGCTCTGCCTACGTACAACCTCAGATTTCTCTTTTTTAGCATTGTATTCTAGGAATCATCAATAATCAGTCAGAGTTGGCATGTAAGAGGAAACCTATTTATTTTAGCTTATCTTTTTTGTTTAATGAAAGCACTGAGAATTATATGGGGGTGGATATGAATTATGTGAGTGTTTTGTTACCTTACTGATATGTTGTACTTTAGAGTTAAGACAAGCCCTTTAATGTTTAAGGTTTTGGATTAAAAAAGAAAGGATGAAACATCCACTATTCATAACCTGGTTCGTAGCAACAGTGTGGTAAAAAGGTAAAGTAATAGGATTTACTTCATGCATGGATGGGCAAGAAGTTTATAAGCTAAAGCGGGATCTCTTGCTGATTACAGCAATGACAAATACAATTTCCAGGGTACCTACTGGGTTCTAGTTACAACCTTAGGTATCTGATATACTTTTTATTTCATTGAACTGTCAGAAAAACCTTATAAAGTAAAAAGCCCACTTGATAGAATAGGTAACTTGAGACTCAGAGATGTTAAGTAACTTAGTTTAAGTTACAGAGAACCATGATGTTGGCCTGTTTCCAAAGCCAATATATGACCATAGGGAGCCCAACTGGTGCATTGTCTCTCAGTTATGTAGTCAGAGCTCCTGGTATTTATTTCTTCTCATATTACTCATAGAGGAAACTGCTCCAAATAGTGCTATACAGAGAATCTTGTCTAACTGGCTTCTCATAAGCATACTAAACTGAAAGAGAGAAACTAATTTTCTTTTTCAGTGTCGTAGTTTATAAAATAAAAGCTATTCTTACTGATAATACCATTTTCTAAACCCTTATAACGTGCCAGGCACTGTTCTAAGCACCTTATTTAATCTTAATCTCCTGACAACCCTATGAAGCAGATACTTCCATTTAACCAATGGTAACTTGCCCAAAGTTGCACAGCTTGTAAGTTATAGGATTAGAATTCCAACTCAGGCAGCCTGACTCCAGAGGTCACATTCTTAACCACTATATTATTGCCTGCAACGCAACTGTATTTCATATTTGTATTTACTGTATTTTAAAAGGATGATATTCAGAGCAAAACAAAATGCACACCAATATCATGCTTACTAAGCTTTGTGCAATTTTCTGTCCTGGCTCTGTCCAAGCTTGATTGGATCAAGCATTTATAGTTCTGGCATTTATGGTTGGTTACTTTGCTTCCCAAACCCTTATTTTTGCTTTGGTCATATTCCTATGATATTTTCCTCCAAATTTTGATTTTGCTTTAAGTTCTCCATGGAGAGTTACAAGCCTCTTCATTGGGAGAAATAACACTGAGATGGATATACTATATTATTTGCTACTTTGTGATCATATTTGTGTCTATTTACTTATTTCCTTTTTATCTTCATTTTCTTTTATGTCTTTTTGAATCTGAAGCCCTCAAAATTTGCCATATCCATCAAGATGGTTCCCTTTTAAAAATTCCTGTGTATATAAAATTATAACAGCTTGGAAAGAGTTAAGCATTAAGTGTGAACTTACCAATATATTGTTGCTTTGGGGATAAAGAGCATCCAAGTTCAAACAGAACTAAATTGACAAGAGGTATTTTTGATAAGTAGTTGTCAATGCCGCTTTTCTGTGATGCTATTAAGTAAAGTGTCTCATGGGGTCACTGACCCCCCCATTAGGGGTTAGCTAAATGGTATCTATGTGTCAGCTCTAAAGTACTTTTTTTTTTTTTTTTAAAGTCTCCATGGTAACCAACTGTCTTAGTTTGGCTGAGCTTGAAATACTTCCTTGGATGTGTGATTTTCAACTTTAAAACTAGAAGTCTCAGGCAAACCAGTTTGAAGTGGTCACTCTGCTAATTAACACTTAACGTTTTATGTACATATACTGTATATAAAATTAGTTGTATGTCACTTTTTTAGTTCAACGTATGAGAGAACATTTGCTTGTTACCATTTTTGTGAATGGCTAATAGATGAACATGGTTCAAAATTCAGTTTTAAAGGCTCTAAAGTGAAGTTTCCTGATGTATAATGAACAGGACTGCCTGTTTTACCACACCCTTGCTAACACTGTTATCAAATGTTTGCATCATTGCCAATCTGAAAAATGCTATCTCAAAAATTTGTATTTACTGGCCAGGCTTGGTGGCTCATGCCTGTAATCCCAGCTCTTTGAGAGGCTGAGGTGGTCCTATCACTTTAGGTCAGGAGTTTGAGATGAGCATGGCCAACATGCCAAAAACCTGTCTCTACTAAAAATACAAAAATTAGCCAGGTGTAGTGGCGGGTGCCTGTAATCTCAGCTACTTGGGAGGCTGAGGCAGGAGTATTATCTGAACCTGGGAGGTGGAAGCTGCAGTGAGCAGAGATTGCACCACTGCACTTGAACCAGGGTGACAAAGTGAGATTCTAACTCAAAGGAACAAACAACAACAAAAAAAAAAAACAAAGAATTTATGACTAAGTATGAAAATCTTCATTGTTAAAGAGATTTCTGTATTTCCTTTATATGTAGCCTATTTTTCTATTTACGTGGCCTTTTTATTTATAAGAGCTTTATGTTATGGAAATTAGCCATTTGATTTTTTAATATTGACTTAGATATATTTTTCCCCAAATGTCACTTATCTTAGGACTTTGTGTGTGACAGTGGTTTCTGCCATATAGGCATATTTGGTTTTTTTGTCATTCAGTTATTTATTTGAAAATCCTGTTGTTTTGTGTTTTGTTTTCTGTTTTCTTGCTAAGTAGAGTTTGAAAGATCTTTCCCATTCCAAGAGTATAAAATAATTTCCTCTTTTTTCTTCTGTTAATCCTGTTAAATATTTTTTCCATTTTATTTTGGCTATTATTTTCTCACGTTATGAAAATCAGCTTTTATGGTGTCTTGTTGGCCCCACTACTCCTTATATAAGTTTTGCATATTTCTGTTTTAGTTTATTCTTGGATTATCTTTTTAGTTGCAATTGTAAATGCAACTAAACAGACTAAAAGACAATCTTTTATTGTCTTCCATTTGCTAGTTGATATATATGAATACTTACATGTTTTAATAACGCTTCACCTTGCTGAATTCTTACTGTTCGTGATAGTTTTTAGCTGATTTTCTTGTGTTTTCAAATTCTTACTCGCCAACGGTAATTTTTCTCCCTTTTTTAATGAATAGGTTTTGATGGCACTTTATTCGACTACTTTAATGGTTATGAAGATTTAAAAAATAAGAAAGTTAGATTTGTTGGACAAGCTAAACAGAGAATACAAGAGGATTATCTTAGAATATTAAGATACTTCAGGTAAGAATTTTTAAAAATAAAAAATGATAGTTTTAATATCATCACCAGAGCATTAACACTGGTCAAATGAAACACACAGCAGGTCAATGTACAAAATGATGACATCCCAAATGTCTGTCTCCAGTGGAGACCTAGCAACCTATGACTTATGAGTGAAAATTACTTAGATACATCATACTCTATTTTCATTCCCAGAACATACATACACTTACTCCATTTTATGTGATCTTTCCTATAATTCTGATTTATATCATTTTTTTAAATGCCAGTTTTTCTTTGTGATGAATGATATTTCCTCCATTGATCCACTAATTACACAGGTGTTCGAACGCTTACCACAGGTCAATCCCTGTGCTAGGTGCATTAAACATGGTAACGAATGAATGAAAGTGTTTGCCTTCATACAGCTTATGGTCTTAGGTGGTCGTGAAAATCTCTGATGCTTCCCAACAAAATGATTTTGGTGAAAAGAAATACCTGTTATATGGTCAATAAAAAATCAAAGTACAGACATACTCAAAATTTGGATAAACCTGGTAAATACGAAATGCATGAATAGTTTTGTGGGTAGCAGTGATTTTTACATGCCACACACTAACCTCTTTAAAAAACTGAATTGGCTAGTTTGTGTCTAGTAATACTCATTTTTCACTTGATTGGGATTGCTCTCAGAATATTCTATTAACAGATCACGCATATTTTATCAATAAATGTAGTTTCTGTAAACTTGAATATTTGTAGCCTCTGTTACAAATAATAGAACATAGATTAAGACTTAGCTGTATTTGGGTCACTAATCCAAAGTTAGCATTACTTTGGACCACTGATGAATAGAGGGTATTCATTAGAATTTTAGGCGTATGAGTGGTAAAACACATGTACTTTAGGGCTTCCAGTTCTAAGATTCCATGAAATATACTCTAGGGTGTACAACTAGATTAGTGATATTTGAAGATTTTCATTGAAAGTATTAATGTGTACAGACAGGCAAGCTTTGAGGCATTAAGAATGTTAAGGCACTGCAGTCTTGTTTTCATTTGCTGCCTTGACAAGGATGCTGTTTTCATCTCTAAGTGCCAATTCAGTAATTGCATTTGATGACTATTCTGAACGTCTGAGTCAGTGATTTGGAGGTGAGGTTGAGACCCTGAGGTTCTAGTTCTTCCTGACCTTAAGAAGGCTACTTAGATTTTATTCAGTCTTGGGTTTTCTTATCTGGAAGAAAAAAGGAGGTGGAGAAATGACTAGTTGCTTTCTAAGGTCCTTTCTAGACCTAACGAATTCTATGTTGTTTTCATTAAGTATATATATGGGATAGTACCAAATAAAAATGAAAAACAGATTTTTCTTGTGACATACCAGTATAGAGGTGATACCCTGTCAAGATTTTGTCTTCTAGGTTTTATGGGAGAATTGTAGACAAACCTGGTGACCATGATCCTGAAACTTTGGAAGCAATTGCAGAAAATGCAAAAGGCTTGGCTGGAATCTCAGGAGAGAGGATTTGGGTGGAACTGAAAAAAATTCTTGTTGGTAACCATGTAAATCATTTGATTCACCTTATCTATGATCTTGATGTGGCTCCTTATATAGGTGAGAGCAAGTTTTAAAGTGTTTGAATTTTTAGCAATGAAATACCTGGTTTCAGATTTCATAAGGTAAAAATGATTCATTTGGTTGAAGAATTCTTGTTGGAGAAATGGAATATTTTAAAATAAGACAAAGTTTGGGTTATGGGATAGGTAAGTTTTGTCATGAGTAGGGAACAGCTGAAAGACAGCCTATGGTGCTTGTAGTCTTGAGTCAGATCTGGTTTGAAGGAAGCTCAGCCCCTTATCTAATCTTTGCAACCTGGGTTAGTTTCTAACCTAAAAAAGGGGTTTAAAAATAATATAGCATCTATCTAACAGAAAAGCTAAAAGGATTCAGTGAGTTAATATATGTGAAGATCTTTTAGAAGAATGACTTGTACATAGAAGTTTTTCAATAAATGTTATAATTCATTTTCACAAAGAACAGCGGCATTGTATGGTTTCTCACACTTCTGAAAACGTGGGTATATTATTTCAAATTTCAATAACATTATTGAATGGGAGATGGATGTTGTTGTATCAATGGAAAGTCAGGAATTTGTGATTGCAAAGAGTATGCCTTGTGTCTGATATCACTATGACCACTACCTCTGGACCTCTTGATGTAGCTTGTTGGAAACGAACATTTTAGAGGTTTTGGGGGTGACGGGAGAGAATAGCGATAATGTATTAGTGCTTTGCCTATAAGTTGGAACATCAGACTGGACCTATATAACGTATCCTATCCTAGTGACAAGGCATTTCTGTATACTCAAACAGTGGCCAGGTTTAGGATATGAGTGGTTTTTTACCTTACTAAAAACAGGTGAAAAATGCTTTTGTCCCTACAGGTTTACCTGCTAATGCAAGTTTAGAAGAATTCGACAAAGTCAGTAAAAATGTTGAAGGTTTTTCACCAAAGCCAATGACTCTTTTGGCCTCATTATTCAAAGTACAAGATGATGTCACAAAATTGGATTTGAGGTTGAAGATTGCAAAAGAAGAGAAAAACCTTGGCTTGTTTATAGTTAAAAATAGGAAAGATTTAATTAAAGCAGCAGATACTTCAGAGCCGTTGAAACCCTATCAAGACTGCATTATAGATGTAAGTATATACTAGGCTTGGTCAGAAATATAAAGTGTCTACACTAATTTAGAATTTACATATTTGCAACTTAGGTCTACAATTCTGTGAATGTTAAATGAAAAAATTTATGTTGAGTAGTATTTAAATTTTAGGTTAAGATCGTAAGTGTGTGTGTGTTCATGTGTGATGAAACTAAATGTTTGATTTTTGACATGTAGTCTAGGGAACCTGATGCAACTACTCGTGTATGTGAACTACTGAAGTACCAAGGAGAGCACTGTCTCCTCAAGGAAATGCAGCAGTGGTCCATTCCTCCATTTCCTGTAAGTGGCCATGACATCAGAAAAGTGGGCATTTCTTCAGGAAAAGAAATTGGGGCTCTATTACAACAGTTGCGAGAACAGTGGAAAAAAAGTGGTTACCAAATGGAAAAAGATGAACTACTGAGTTACATAAAGAAGACCTAAAACTGATGGCTACAGAAAAGCAGAGCATTTTTGGTAGGAGTCATTTTTCTCCCCTCCCTCTTGATGAGGTTTTAGAAACTATGCCAGAATAAAAGCCAGTTTAGAGGACCTCTTTAGAATGAGGGTCTTATTATGTGAATTCTATTTCAAGAACTAAACTAAGATCTACCTTTCTTGATCTGATTTGGAATAGTTTCAAGTGAGAAAAACATAGTTGGCTATTATTTTAACCTGTTCAGGGTGTTAAAAAAAATTTGGTTTTGCATAGGGTGGTAGTAAGATTAATCGTAGAAGGTGGTAACTATATTGAATAAAAAAATGTTTATTAATGTTTGCAATTGAAATAACTGGGTTACCTTGTACAGTGACTGTCTACAATGTGTCAGTTCTTATCTGAATTCCAAAATAAACTTGTGCTTAAAAGGGAAATAATTGACAAGTTTGCATAAAATATGAATACTAAGTGTGTCTCTAGTTGCTGGCATTCATACATACAGGATTGTTCTAGCAGGCTATGTTTTAGTATGTAGTTGATATTTTTCTGTCACAATGATTTCTTTATGCATGCAGAGCCTGGGAAAGTAAAGTAATTAACTTGAGGGTTACTCTTGAGCCTATTTTAGTAAAACATTGGTATTATGTGTTTATGTGGTATCTGACAATAAGTATCTGGTGCCATGTACAATGGTAATATGCCTCTTTTTAAAAGTTAATAAACTAAATGTTAACTTATTTTTCTAATTAAAAGGATACAGCTTACATTATTATATATTCTTTAAAGATTTGTGTCCTAAATGCTTTCATTTGGTAAATATATTTATAATGCAAACTATTATTTCAGCTGCTATACTGATATTTCATAATTCATTTTCCTTCCTGTGTAGCCAGTCAAGACTTCTTTGTACTCTCTGAGCAAATAGTAATATTGGACCTTGATAAAACAATTTTGTAGAGTGTATTTCTAAGAGGAAGTGTAACAGGGGCTATGATGCAAGAAAGGGAGCCTCAGAAATGACTGCGGCACAGGTCAGTAATTACATGCCTTATAAAATACTTTGGAATATTTAAGTACTGCCAAAATACGGATTTAGACCCAACATCATAGAATACATACTATTTCTATATAGAAAGTATGCAAATTTAGCTATATTGGAGGTCTGGTTTTGTCATATGCATGTTTTTACATCTCAGAAAATTTTATTTGCTAGTAAACTGTGTGGGACATTGAAAGTACACCTTTTCAGGGCAAAAGGTGACTCATTCTAACTGGTTTAGATTTCATCCTATAGAGATGTACTATGCTACTGAAAAGAACTTCCTGGTATCCTCTTAGCGTAAGTTTTAGTGCAGTGTAAGAACTATATGAAACCAGTGAAGTCATAGAAACCCAAAACTATTAAAAGTAGTTAAGTAGAGCTTAGAAAAAATAAGGCAAGGGCATATCCTGAACAGCAGCATTGTTGAATTGCTTTTCATTTACTCTATTTACGTAAATAAATAAGCAATTTGATACTCAACTGATTCCACTCAAGGCGTGTTTGGGCAAAACAAATTTTGGCCTCATACTATTGCCATACTTTGTACATTTAACCTGACTGGTCTTATTGATAGTCCTTTGCTACTTTAAAGTTGTTACACTTAATGTGAAAGGACCCACTAAACCCTTGAATATATAAGCAGAGAGGTCTGTGGCAAAGCAGTCTTTTTAGGACTTTACATTATTTGAACAAAGAACATGTTTAGTTTCACCCTTAAGGTTTACTTAGATTTTCTCCAACTTACATTGAATAAAATAGTATCATGTCTAGCCTGTGTGAAGGGGACATGTTTTGGCATCTTTTTCCTATGGTAGTTCTAGTTCAAATTAATGTTTGAAAAAAAGCTTCTGTAGGGAACAGAATAAATGGGCTTATAGTTCAAATACTGAGGAAATACACAGAAAATACTATTTTTTACTAACGGGCACATAAGGGAAATGACAACTATTTGTGAGCTCAACACTGTATACACTAATATTTTTAAATTAGAGTTAAAATTAGATTTTACAAATCAGTATTGAACAAAGCCCTTTTAGAATAATACACATTGCCTTGTCTCTTTTGAAAAGGAACATGTAGTTGTCAGAGCATTGGTACAGATAAGCTGTCCCATCCATCAGGATCAAACTGATTGATTAGTTTCACATTGTAGGAGTTTATGATATTCTACACAGGAAGTAATCTCATCATTTCCAAAGATGTCTTTATGTTGCATCAATGACATGCTACAGACATACCAGATTCCACAGGATAATGGCACCAAGCTACCCAAGTAGATATGTCTGAAACTAAATTTGTATTCTAGACTGCTGCTTATCCTTTCCAAGAGTATACTTTAAGTTTCAGATACAGCTTAACTTGAAAACTGCAACCCTCCAAGTAATATTAAGTATATATCAGAGGCAATAATTTCCAAAGCAGATCTGACTTTAGAATAACAAATTTGTTAGATAAATTTATCTCTAGCACATCTGTTTACAAGCAAAGTATTACTTTGTCTGGACTTATTTCATCTTCTGTGTCTGGGATTGTAGGCAACAGAGCAGATCGCGTTAAGCCCCAAAATTTTTGAGGTGACATGTCTTTTTTGGTGGCTGTAAACTTCCATCCAATATGGCTTGCACAGATCTTACATTGGGCAACAGTCCAGGCATACCTAAAAAATTAAGGAAAAGTATCAGCTAAGGAAACAAACACTTCTTTTACTCCAATCCTATAAAACCTATTATGATGAAGACAGACCTTAGAGACACATTCTAAGTTGAGATTTGATCTATACAGTTCCCTGAAAACTCGTAATACCTAATAATTTGGATACATTCTTTCTATGGTAATACATCAGTCTGTCTGTTACATATTATTTTGTAATATATATGACTTTTATGCACTTAAGCTATGTTTACAGTTTTCCTCCACTCCACGGAAGTAAAGTAATCTTAGGAATATCTTTATACAAATTGCTGGTTGCCAAGATCACATTCTAAGTTGCACTGGCTTCTCCTTTGTTGCAGTTAGTTAGAAAACAGCAACCACCTGCAGAAATATGTACTTCTGTCTGAGTCAAACTGGATGGAGCAGGAAGGACATGTTGTCTCATAAAATATTTGAAAATTACTATTCTAAAATAAGAATGATTGTCACATAATGCAACCAGAAATACAAACCATGGCATTTCTGCTCTAATTTTGTCCATTTGTATACTATGTCACATCTACTATTTATAGTAACAAATTTATTCTAGTTTTAGTCATCACATAGGGTGCCAAATAAGCTAGATAAGGCAATCCAAGTGATATGGTCCTAACTAACTCCAGAGTAGCAAGTAATCCCTACGTAGCATCCCTCTTTGAAAACTGAAGATAGTACAGCTGAGGGAACTGAACAGGCTCCCAGGATCATACTTCAAAATCATTAAGGTGAAGCAAAAAAAAAAAAAAAAGGCAAACTAGAAGAAAAGCAGGATTTAATATGTTCTGCATCTTCTTTCTTAGTCTACCATTGCTTGATAAACATTCTCTAGTTTTACATTACTACAGAATATGATCCAGGTGTAATGTTTTACTGGGTCATAAAACAGTTGATTTTCAGGATGACATGACAGAAAAAAAGAGTTTTGGATTTAACTAATTTGAGGACAACTGCAGTTACCAACCTTTCCCTGCACTAATAGAAATAACTTTTCACTCAGTGATACTATATAAAAATACAAAAAAAAAAAGTATAACAGGTGTGTCCAGCTATTTGTGGAATTAAGAACATTTAAATAAAATTTAATTTTGTCTCACTCTGTCACCCAGGCTGGAGTGCAGTGGCACAATCTTGGCTCGCTGCAACCTCTGCCTCCCGGGTTCAATTAATTCTTGTGCTCAGCCTCCTGAGTAGCTGGGATTATAGGCGTCTGTCACCACACCTGGCTAATTTTTGAATACAATTATTGATTTCATTGTCTACTTGTTATTAAAAAGATTGTAGCAAACTCTGCTTAGGATTCTGGGTTTTTCTACCCAATTAAGGTTAAAAAAAAAAAAAAAAGCAACCACCAGCATATTATTACCCAGGAAACCAGCTGTGTTCCGTAGATGGCCGGCCTATCAGATTCAAGTTGCAAGCCTTATACACAGTAAGTGTCTCATGCACATATCCATGAGGATTCACATAAGCTGCCATTGGCCCACATAAGGATAAACTAAAAGAAAGAACATGGAGGACAAGTCAAAATGAGAAGTCTAATCCTATTAAATGGTTAGAATTTTCTTGAAGTTCACCAAGAAATTTAGTTTTTAATCTTTTAGTTTTACATAATACCAGGATCTTAGTACAAAAACGGGGTAGGGAATACAGCTGGCAGACCCGTTTTGTTCAGTCTAAACGTTTTATGTGATGACTCAAAAGAAATTTTAAAACCCTCCTCAAGACAAGACAGACATTGTCAAGACGACAAAACTCAAATGCTTCTAAAGGAGTCTGACAGTGTAAATGCAATGCAAAGGTCCGGTGTGGTCATTTTGAGACAATTGATAATTGAGTAGAAAGCAGTTTCCTTACTTTCTTGATAATTCTGATGAATCTGTCATAAAATGATTTTCAAACGCCATTATATCAGAGCATCAGTAAATGTTCCGAATCATGTCCTACTTTGACTCTGATTACTTTGACAACTGATTACTGACACGTAATTTCTGAGGCATCTACTTAGGGCCTAATAGAAGACAACTAATATGCCTATGTCTAAGATACTCTAATATACAGATTGTCAACAAGAATTGGGGAAAAAAGAATTGCTCAGTTGTTTTACTTTATCATGCTCATTACCTGTGAGTAATCCCTGACATACATTGTTGCTCTGAGTACCCAATCTGGAAGACGATCTTACCAAAAGTGAGCTAATTCCCTGTATTTCATTTGCTGAGCGTTTGTAACTTTTAAGTATTGGAGGAAAGTATATGGAAAACAGAAATACAGTCTTGATTATAATTCTGGTAAGGCAAGTATACTAAAAATGTCATAAAGAACTTACCTGAATATTTCATTTTTGGTTGTTATTTCTGTTTCTTGACATTGTTTACAGCAAAGGGAAGTACACTAAAAAATTTGAGAGAAAAATTATTGGGCAAAACTGGCATTCGTTTTATCATGTAATCACATAGATCATCAAGAAACTTCTAAAGATATTGCTGCCTCTGAGTATCACATTCTCCTTCCAACCATTCAAAAACTTAGTTTTAAAAATGTAGGAAGAAAAGCACTGAAACTGAGATCTGCCAGGTATTTACATATAAAACTAAAGGACTTTCCAGGGTAAAGGAATAGTGATATATAGCCTCAGGTATTAGAAATCAAGTATTTTTCACGAAGTTGATAAATGTATTCATAGTTGACAGCACAGAACAATCTGACTTTATCTGTAAGAGCCAAACTGCATGACTACATTACTGGACTCTATTTTAGCTCCATTGGTCCCAACAGAGCATCCTAGTTCTCCAGCCTGACTAAACATGGGCATCAAAAACATAATCACTTTACTCACTTTATTCATAATGTCTAATTCACAGCGAAGTCGCTGGATAGCACTGCCAATTTTAAGGAGCTGAATTCTCAATACATCATCAATAGGAAGACAAGCAGCTACTCTGTAAGAAAAATCTTAAACACATAGTTTTTCAAGTTTTAAATTTATGAGTCAGATAAGCATCAGATTACTTAGAAATTGGATAATGTCCCTTTGAAATAAGCCCTTCTCTATAAAGTTACACATTTTATACTATAAACAGTACTAAAATATACCAACTATCAAAGGTATACTTTTCAGAAGCTCTAAATTTAAATTCTTTTCCTATACTTTTTTTGGGTACAATCCTTTTATGTTAAACATGAACTTGAATACATGTTAGAAGTTGCTTATTTGCCAAGAGACTAGAAAAATATACCTTATAAACAGAGTATATGTAATTAAGGTAGGTCCTGCAACTATAGTCACTTCTTTTAAAAGTACCTTAAACAACAGGGAGAGGAGTCCTTATACTCAGGAAGTGTTTCTGGATGACGGCCACTTACTGCAATTTGAATGTTTTATGGAAAACTTATCTAAAATTGGAGTGCTCACAGAATATAAGGATTTTACTACAATTTTGAAATACTCATTTTTTTTTCAACTGCTCAAAGGAAATCATGCTTTTCAGAATTAAGATGTTTTTAATCAGTCTTAAAAACTAAAATATATTATTTAATCCATTAGAAAGCTATTTTTTATAGCAAGATGCACAGGCCACAGCCAGGAAAGTTAACTTTTCATACCTATTGGATTTGAAGGAAGAGAATCATCTTTTAGATTTTCATCCCATTCACGTAGCTGTTTCTTGATTCTGTCCATTAAGGTTTCCTTGTTTAAAATAAAGGTAGCCATAATCAAGTTCACAGACTTATTAAAATTTAAATAAAACTAACATATTGGGTAGCAATTTAATCACGGTGGTAAAATCTCAGTCCTAGTTTCAATATCTCCATTTTCTTAGGCAGAAATGGTCAAACTCCAGCTCTTTTGCCCAGCACTAAGTCTGCCTTCCAGCCTTCTCTCACTGTCTTATCCCAGGCGTATATGCTCCCAACTGCCTGTGGATTGCTCTGTTCTATGCCCCCGCTTGGAACTCGCCTCTCTTCTGCTTTCTCTTGGGCCATTCCTCACCCAATCCATAGGGATTATGGCACCGATAAATTGCACTAACACTATCTACATACCTTACTTAGACCTATTTACTACATAATTTTCACAAGCATAAGCAAAACGTATGCAAAAACATTCTTGTACAGTGTGTCTTTGTAAGGCTTAAAAACTGCCAAAGAGCAGAGATCAGTTGCAGTTTCTTTTAGTGTAATGCATGTTGTTGAGTTTTCCCAGGACTCCAGATCTGTGGGCAGTGATTCATTAAGGGAAATAATTAGCATTTACTGAATGCCCACTATGCACACCAAGTACAATAGCTACCATTATATCCATTTTATAGGTCCTTGGAGAAGTAATCTGCTCCAGACCCACAGAGTAAGTGACAGAAATGAGACTCTGAGGTCAGTCTCTGCTCTGAAACCTAGATTCTTAAACTATTTCAGCACTGTTCCTTACTTAAGATTTGCAAAACGTGGCAATGCCTAGTGTCACACTCTGACGAGCAGAAAGCCTCATGGATGCATTAATTAATAGACTACTGATCAAGAGATACTAAGTTAATCTGCTTGTTTAGAGAAAAACCAAAACTGTTATATAAGGATCCTGTAATGTTCTAAAAGTAAGTATTACCCAACCCAAGAAGACTTCAAGTGCTTAATAAAACTCTAGAGTCTTAGGATACTTTTTTTTTTTTTTTTTTTTTTTTTTGAGACAGAGTCTTGCTCTGTTGTCCAGGCTGGAGTACAGTGGCACAACAAACTCAGTTCTCTGCAGCCTCGACCTCCCAGGCTCAATCAGTTACCGCAGCTCAGCCTCCCAAGTAGCTGGGACTATAGCCACATGCCACTACGCCTGGGTAATTTTCATATTTTTAGAGACAGGGTTACGCCATGTTGCCCAGGCTGGTCTGGAATGCCTGGCCTCAAGCAATCCATCTGCCTTGGCCTCCCAAAGTGGATTACATGTGTGAGCCACCCTATAATATCTTGTTCTTAAAAGGCACTAGGAACTGGAAAAACTAAAAATTCTATAAATAAACCTATCTAGCAGTATCTCTGACTGCTGCCTGTTTACTTTAAATGTACAAATGGCATTAGTTCTGAAAATAAAATAGCAACAAGTACGAAAACCTTTGTTTTTTGATTACCATTAAGTATGACATGGCCTACCACAGACAAAGTAAATTTAAGGTAAGTTACTTACAGCATCATATAAGGAATATAGCCAGCGAGGCCATGAAGTTAGATTTGCACAATGAAACTTTCTCTGAAAACAAAACAAAAGAAAAAGGCACTGAATAACCCTTCTCTATAAGGTTACACATTATAGAGAAGATTCTAATGGTAGAATGAGCAACACCTGAGAAATGATTCTGGCCTAGGAAAACATCTAATTTTAAAAAGATAAAATTTTTTTTAGATAACCCATAACATGACTATGAAGTGCAAAATCATGCTTCTATATCCTTCAAATACGTATTTTAACTAGAATCTTGATTCCTATTTAAAAAGGTCAAATATTAAAATTTCAATGCTGAAGACAACTTTGAAAAGATAAATGTGAAGAATAACTAAACACCATACTTCTGTTATGACCATGTTAGTTGACTTCATACTAGTAATTACTTTTCCAGTATCTGAAGTGAAAACCTCAAAATAAGATCCAAACTGTTTGTATAAAAACTTTAAATGAGTCTCAACTGAATCAGTATAGGGGCAAACATAACAAGTGATAGAATCCCAAGAAAGATGAACCATTCATATACTTGAGACTTCATGATGAAGT